GAGCAGCCAGAGGTTCATGGATCCTGGCTCAAATTGGAGAATACCAGAAAGATGTTTACTTTTGTTTGATGGACTATGCTAAGTCATTAGACTGTGGGTATCATAACCAACCATAGATAGCCATGACAAGGATGAGGTATCTAGAACTCATCATTGAGCTCATGCAGAACTTGTACAAGGATCAGGAGGCAGCTGCTGTGCAAACAGAACAAGGATCCACCGCATGGTTTAGAATCAGGAAGGCTGTGTATCAGGGTTGCATTTCTCACACTACTTTTTCAATCTGTATGCTGAGCAAATCATCAGAGAAGCTGGGCTCTGAGAAGCAGGATGAGACATTAGGATTGGAGGAAGGCTTATTAGCAACCTGAGATTTGCAGAGGACACAACCTTGTTTGCTGAACTTGGGAAGGACTTGAAGCAAATGCTGATGCAGATGGTAAGGACAGCTGTGGGGATTGGAGTCCAGCCAAGCTCTGTGCCTGTGGGCTTTCTTTTTCTTTCTCAGTTGTTTCTCCTGTAACATGGCATGCATGTGAGTTTAACTGATCCCCAGACAGAGGTTTGGTGCAGTGCCTGACCTCAGGAATAAGTCTTATCTCAGAACAAAAAATGTAGCCTTTAGTTTGGATACAGCAGCATGTAAATAATACCCAAGTGTTCACAACTGGACCAAGCGATGCCATCATGATAAAAGTAGAATAGATTAAAGATGTCAGGAATTTGGACTCTTTCAAATGCACAATGAATGCTCATGGGCCCTGCAGTCAAGAGATAAAAAGGATGCCTTGCATTAGGTAAATCTGCTTTGTTAGAGTACTGAAAAGCAAGGAAGGTATTTTGAGGACTAAGGTCCTTTTTATTTCCAATAGCCTCATACACTTGTGAAAGTTGGACTTGAATAAGGACAAAAGAAGAATTGATACGCTTGAATTCTCCTGCTGAGGAAGAATATTGAAAGTGCCAGGGATTGCCAAAAGGACAGACTAATCTGTCTTAGATGAAGTGCAGCCAGCATGCTCCTAAGAGCCAAGCAGGGCAAGACTGCCTTATATACTTCAGACATGTCATCATGTCCGGTGCCTGAAGATGGACAGCATGTTTTGGGCACATAGAGTGGCAGTGACAGAGAGGAAGGGCCTGAATGGGAAAAGCTGACACAGCGGCTGCAACAATGGGTTCACGCATCGGAACCACTGTGAGGATGGTTCAGGACCGGGCAGTGTTTGGATCTCTAGTGCATTCGGGCATTATGGGCCAGAACCGATTATTCAAGGGCACCTTAGAACCACCACCACAGACATATTTCTTCTCGTTGCTTTATGTTTAGAACTTATTTTAAATTTTTTATTTACCAAATCTGTATTTACTAGTTCTGTACCAAACATTGAAAAGTAAAGTAAATGCAGCTTTATACTTTTCTCCCAGTAATTCCCAGATGCCCTGCTGGGATAGGAATCCCCTCTACTGCTGTGAAGCCATTTATGCTTTAAATAGGAGCACACACACTCCTCTTGTTTCTTAGATAGGGCTCAGCAGTAACCATACAGCTCTACAAAGTTCTTTGTTCACATAATGGCATGTGCTGACAATCACTTCC